TTTTCGGTGAGTAATTTAATTAAGAATTCATGATTTCCCGTGAAATTAAAATTTGTGGAAATTCATTGTTACAGAGCCCTGATAAAGAATTAAAAAAAAATTGTAAAGTTGCCGTGAAAACAATTGCTTTTTAAGAAAAATTGATCCTATTACCCAACTAACGCTTCTTGGAAAAAATAGAGCACATTATTTTTTGAATTCGCATCTGTTGTCTGCAGCTAAAATAAGCAAACTGTTATTTGTACAGATAAAGTCTTATTTGAACCCTCTCCAATTATCACCGCCTACGCCCTTGCCAAGGTGTGAAATAAAAGAATAAATTACAAGTACTTTCTGTATTAAAAAATAATGGTGTTTATTATACAACAAACTTATCAACATAATCAACAATAAAATAATAACAGTAATAATCCTTAAACAACGTAAGTAGGCTATTCAAAAATGATGTTTATTTATCTAACTGCTAACCGATACATCTATTTGTTCAAGCAAAAGTGACATTTTTTACAATCATAAATAAGATAAAGTTATTTCTATACATGATTATCACAATCATTTATCTTAGTTCGGCTATACAAATACTGAAAGAATATTCAACCGGCCAGGATAAGAATCAGCCAATCTATTCGAGATAGCCATGTGAAGAGAAAACATCGCATCACCTTTGACATTATAATAGTCAATTTGTGGGTCACGTGACATCACGATCCGAATACTTCTGTGATATATGGGTGGCTAGTGCGAATTGCGAATCAACGTGGAAGGTAGTTATTTGACTATGAACAATGCACAATGTCGGAGATTGATCGAGGCTTCTTTGTGTTTTCGTTTCGCCGCTGTTCTCAGCATCAAATTGTTATGGCAGAATGTGTGAATAGTGTCTTTAGTGGAATTTTAGAGCAGTTGAAAAATGGGAACAAAGAAAGTGGATATAACGAGGAACCTCTGATTCTGATTAACATATTACTAAAAATACTCTTCTTCTTTGAGTAGCTTGAGAACTACATCTACAAAAAAAAAATATTCAGCACCAACACTTTAAAAACCGAAAACTTGAAGATACCCACGATTATTAAATATCGATTCCAACATGGGATTTTTAATGTTTTTTTGACATGCTTCGGCATGTTTTCGAGATAATTTGAATTGAAAATGGCGAAATACATACTTCACTTGAGGTACAAGTACTTCAAAATATGGAAAGTTTTCCGGATTATTAATAACGCCATGCCACACAAAATGGCGGACAGGAAAGTAAAATTCGTGGTAATAAAATTGACCTACAAGATAGACCTGTGAATCACATATGAAACCAAATAAGAGATGTACTCCTTCAGAATGTATACACGAATATATGGATTCAAAACGGAAATCACATCCAGAGGTTTCTCCATGGAAAATTCCACATTACCTCAGTCTTAATTTGTCAGAACTAACAACTCGTTTAAATTGTTTTAAACAAATAGAGAAATTCAATATTTTTGAAAAAATGTTTTTGCTATTTTATTGTCTAGAGATNGTTCCAGGAAAATAGAAAGTAGCAAATGACAATACCGTATTGAATTTCACCTTTGAAATAATAACATGCTGGAAAAAATATAGTTTTCTAACTCGAAGGGTGGAAATATAAAACACGGAAGTTTCATGTTTTTGTAGAAGAGTAGAGTATATACTGCGATTAACTTTAGACTAATTCATTAAGTGTTTCCAATGACGGATGCACATTATGAATGTATCCTCAGAGAAATTTGATTCGCAATATCAACGATATATATCGATATGAAATATTTTTTATTGAAATATACTCTGATAACTCATATTTCACTACAAATGCGACATCTCTCTTTCTTCTGCTCAATGTTTCATGATCTCGAGGTTTTTCCCATTTCTATTGAAATAAAACTTTACTCAGATCGATTTACATTCGAAACATTCTTGTTTGAAAATTGAAATTGGAATCGTTAGTATTTATTTTAACGACCCAAGAAAGGAAAAGTTTCTGCCATACGTTTGCTACAGACTGAAAATTTACTTTCGAAAAAATCGCTATTTGAGTGGGCACTCCAAACAATTCATTTTTGTCACAATGATTGGGGAACTGTACTGGTAATGCGATATTTCCTCTCATAATTTATTGATGCAAAAGCAACAAATATATTTTCATGATGAGATCTTTCTTGTTCAAGACATAATGGGCGGAAGCATATAACACAAAAACTATTAGTACATTCGAATAATATGTAACTATTTTATGATACAAAATTTACAAAAATTCGTTGCTAGGATGTGTTATTTGTGAACGGTTACAATACACTATACGATTGACAATCAAATGGGTTTATTAATTCATAAAAACCTACTGTACAAAATTCACGACGTCATCATCAGGTCGCCTTTGATTACACAGAATAATCCAACAAAGATTTTACACTAACAATTTGTAAAAATACAAATACGTTACTTAAATATTAAGCATTTCTCTATCACAAAGAATGTGTAAAAACCTGAGAACAAACACACTTAATTGACGAAATCGAATTTTTCGACCGTTCGAGCATAAACTGAATTACTGAAGAACTTACAACTAAATAAATAGAATTAAAAAATAAATAGGAGAAATATGATATAAAAATAAATAGATTCTATAAACAAAACATTAGGCATAACACACAACAATGTGCAATACTTCAAGCATTTAGGATGGGAAACATTACAAAAATGTCAAGTAAAAGTGTTTCTCAGTGGAAATAGTATAGAAAATGTTGTTTTTCAAAACTACTCCAGAAATGAGTACGAATTAGAATTAATAAAACCAGTTAAAAATCACATCCACCAGCTGAATTTAAAAGAGTAATTGGGGATGGAAAACTTACCCAGTTCAAAAATTTTAATGTTTTTGAACTCAACTCTGGGCTGATTTCTTATTCATTTCATAAATATAATACAATTTGTCAGAGAACAGAAACATTCAAATGCACCATAAATTAATCATTGATAATCAAATACCCACAAGTTTCACTTTCGTGAATTTGAATGGATGCCACCAGTGTACATCGGTTTCGGCCTGTTGGGCTTCTTCAGCACTGGGCAGGCATCCGTGGAATAGAGGTGAAATGTTGAACTCAGAAAATGACATTTTTTAAACCAATCTTTATATTCTTTCTTCTGTTTCATAATAGATGAAATGATTCCGAAGAAAATTCCACTTACAAACAATGAATCTAGAGAATGTAATGTCAAGAGAATATAAAAATGTATAAATATATAATACAAAGTGAGCAGTTGATTTGCACCGGCATCATTATTCAGTGATGAAATTGCACATTGTCCATAATTAGGAATATAAAAGAATGCTTTCCATGAGGTACCTTGTCTATAGCACGTCTGAAAACATCAGACCAAAAAGAATCAACAATATCAACAATATTCAGAAATATCTTTCCCAAACCAGATATTTTCCTATTTCTTTTTGGTCTGGTTTGAACTTATGAATATAAACAACTTTCAACGAATTAGAGACGTGACAAATAACTTCAAAAACTGTGCCTGAGCTCTTTTTTTGGTTTCTAGCCCTGGTCTTCAGGTTTTCGTGCCTGACGTTTTGTCTACTACTGCGGTACACATTATAAAAGGCGATGTAGAAACGATCGAAATGCTCGATTTGATGCTAGATTTGTTGTTTCTTTTGTTTCCAACGCAGAAACTACAATAACTCCTGTTTTATATTATTATTGGATTACCTGACCTTGTTTGTGAGAAACAAGGTCAGTTAAATAAGGTCAGGTAATCCAATTAGGAGATAAACAACGTCAGGTAATCCAGTTAAGAGAAACCAAGCCACGACCAGCAATAATAATATAAAACTAGAGCATTATAGTTTGTGAGTTGGGAACAACGAGAGCAACAATCAGAGCACTTCGGCCGTTAGTCAGGCATATGTTATTTTCTAGAATAATAGAATTTTTTCCGGGCATTATTAGAGTGGATATGATATCACGAGTCGAATGGAACTATAAAGTCGAGAACAATCAGTTACTGGACCATCCAGTGATGATCACCCTGTGAGTCAAAGTTTCAGAATTAACCTATTATATGATGAGGCAATATGTATAAATCATTTCGAATCGTAGACCCTGAATGGATATAACCATAATAGCAAATCTCAGTGGCTACCAATTCATCTACCATATTTCGATAAAATATTTGAAATAAATGAATTGGTCTCAAAATGGTCGATTGTGAATCACCTGTGAGTCACTTTCGGCTTGGCAGGGGTGCTAAATGAGACCTTTGTTTGTATTTACTCAAGAATAGTAGATTCTAGATGTTAAACGGAAGATAACATCAATAGCTTGATATTATCAACGATTTGAAATACAAATTCCACTATTCACTGAAAGGAATATTGCAACTGCAATAAATAAGGAACGAAGTGTACCTATGTTAAATAACAACTTCGAAAGAATAATTGAAAGAACCTTAGAAGTTCTACTCCAAGATCCGGATCGCAAAGTCTTCTATTAGCCCATTCCAATGTTGATACCAATATTACAAACTTTTTTGAATATGCTTCAGCTTGTGGTTTGATATCGGTATCCTCTCTGATGGCCATTCCGTTCGAGAAAGCTAGTTTTCCCAATATCCATGGTGAACAAAATTTTCTCTTCCATGCTAATTATATTGAAAAAATTGTAGGTTTTTCCATGATTTCATGCTGAGAGGAGATTCCATACTGTAGTTGAAAATTTTCCCTCATCTACAGATGCCTCATACCTGTATTTGGGTCCTTCCGTCTACAGGAAATTCATTAGATATCAAAAACTGTTGGTCCATAGAAAAATGAATGAGCAAATCATCGTCAATACCGGAGGCCATAGAAGACTGACCACATTCAGAGCTAGCTCCCATTTCAAGACTGTATGGTCTACCCAAAGTAAACAAAAAATATTCCGCTATACCTGATGGCTAGTTCCATTAGCTCTCACACGTATGAGCTAACAAGACACTTGGTTTAGTTATGGAAGCATGTAAGCAAGTTCAAGCAGGTACTGACTCTGTTATTTACATAACACCTTCGTAATATAGAACTACGAGCATGAAAAACTAATTTTACCGGACGTATTGGTCACCAGAGAAAAATAACTGCTTATATTTACAGAATACCAGGCCGAAAGTTGGAAATGATGGAAACGGACCAGAAGAATTTGCTATCCAGATTTTATGGACTGGAATGAAAAGATACGGCGAGGGATTCATTTCAAATGACGAAGTAGCAGTGGTCAACAAGAGAGCACATATCACGATTCATAAAGGAAATTTCTTGCTTTTATTCCAGGAGTAACCGATAAAATGGGTCCTAGACTGGGAAGGCTGGATATGAAAACGGTTTGCCAATTGTCAGGAAAATCGGGGATTACCCAAGATTACTAAAGGATAGGCGAGATCCGTTCTCTAGGCATGGTGTATATAGCACTTTGAGAGAGTAGTAGCTGAACACTTACAAAGTGACGTCGATGAATTGAAATCCATAAGCACACGATAGAGGAAACCTAGAAAGTCGTTGTAGCTTGGTCACCTACAAATCCGAAATTAAGACATTGAAATGTTCATTGAAAGTTTCATTCGGTGTTTGATTGGAAGAACTCCGCATATGAATAAGCAAAATGGAAATAATTATGAGTTGAGCCTAGGGGTGTAAATATTAATTTAGGAAGAGATCAGTTTTGTACTCTTGAAAATACCAACACCTCGTGTAGGCGAAACATTGGCAGTTATAAACGTTAATAGTGATTCTAACAAGTTTTTGCTCCACCAAAAACTCACCAATGATTCGACATTGGATGAATGTATGATCATTGAGTTAGAACTCAAGAGCAATCACTGCAGTGAGTAGTCATAACTCAAGAGCAATCAATGCGGAAGAAATAGAACATCTATGCGTTAAACGATGATTTCAAGACGTGTCGTTATGACTATTCTCGCTGTCGTCACACCGCTGAACCACTAAACGAAAATTATATCCATATCAAATTTTGACTCTAATAAAGCCTCCGCAGGTGTTGACCAGTCACATTGTTGAAGTATTCAAAGAACACTAATGCATAGTAGCCAAATCCCAAATGGAAAAACATATAGAAAACTGTCATTCATTATGTGTTTGTTTATTGAGAGATAAGTCATCACATGTAAGAACTCATGTATTAATATCACTCATCGGTCATCTAGTTTCACGCACTTCGACTGGTGGGGAGAGAAAAAAAAAACGAGAGAAAAAGAAGAAAGAGGGAGAGATGACAGAAGAGAGAACGATAGAAAAAATAGTACTGAAAAGATGAAGGAAACGAAGAAGACAAAGTGGACAAGAGAGAGGGGAAGTGAAAAAGAAGATACAGGGTTCAATGTTCATTCAATATGTTGATTGAGTCGGCAAATATAGATTTGAAGTTTCAATCACTCATCGCATTGAAATAATCATGTTATCAAAAGTTACTATAGCTCAGAAAAGTTGATGTAACGGGGCCCTGTTAGGTGTCACTGTCTTCTGAGAGATATTTTGGGACCAACATGCCAAATATCGAGATGTTCAATGTTGAGCAAGACGTAAGAAGGATTTTTTAATTAACTTAGAGGAAATGTAAAAATGTTGTGGCGAATTCACTAAGTTGCTAGACTTTGTAGTCACCTAGCACCTTAGACTAGTTTACTTTTCGTTCATTGATACGTATTACATGTTCATAATGATGGTTTGTGTCTAAAATGTACACACATAATTTTACACACATAAAGTTACCTCCATTTGGAGCTCCTGTGGACAATGGTTGGTTGAACAGCCACGGTTGAAACTTACTAATTCAGTTCACTGATCTAGATAACGATGATAAAGCTTTTCAGGGAATGAAGTTAATTTTTAGAGGTGTGTAGGTGAGAGAAGTGGATTCATCATAGCTCCACTATAACGAATCCCCAGTGAAAGAACCTCAGCAAAAATGAGATGATACGACGCCCCCCCTTGTCTCTAAATTGTGGACTCTAACAACTCAAGCATACCAATTGATGAACAAGATAGAATAATTTTGAATACACTAGCCAGTTGCTTGATAGAAATTAATAACACCACTCATGATGATAATTATACAATTTCCACAACCGCAAAACGGTTTCGCTTTGCCAGTTGAAATTGCAGCAAGGATTTGAATATTCAGGTTTGTGCATTTTCAACTTGGTTTCGCTATTTATATCCATACAAACTACTACAACTGTGATTGAACAAGTTTTGGATAGAATTTATAATGTAGAAATTGCAGAAGTATCATCATGTTTATGTTCAATTCGTTCAAAATGTTATATTCATAAGCTCAAGAGGGGAATTTTGACCTAATCTCGACCAATCCTCTTATGAATCTGCTGGTGCTTCAACAAATGTGCTTTTTGTCTGAACGCTTTAGCGCAGGTTTCGCATCTGAAAGGTTTTTCGCCAGTATGCGTCCTCAAATGAACTTTGATGTTACTTTTATTCAAAAAACCTCTATTACAAATGGTACACCTATGAACGGGCTTCTCCTTTCCCAACAATCCCAATGTTTGATCGACTTGGAAAACGTTCGAACTAGAAGAGGGCTGGTGTTTCTTCCTGTTGCATCTGGATTTCCTTGACGAACTGGACGTTGTGGTTGTGTGGGGGTAATTTTGACCCAGCATATCGGGACTCCTCACTCGCTGGTCATCACCCAAGCTGTGGAGGTATTGGGGCAGAAACCTCCCGTTTACTGTCACGAGAAGGTTGTCCGTTGTGGATACGACATTAGCAGGAGGACTAGACGTGGTTATCATATCGTTTCCATAGTTCGTCGAACTTGGTACCTCTTGTTTTATGGGAGGCCCATTCTGGAGCCGGTTCTGTAACAGTGGCATGTAGCCGTGGGTGAGGAGGCTTTGCAACGTGGACCCGCCCTGCTGTGGCTGAATTTTGGCATACTCCGCAACCTGCTGCACCTTGTACTCGCTGGAACAGGGTATCACAAACTCTGATAGACCGTCTTGAGCGATGATCACGCCTTTGGATTCGTCGACACATGCTCCTTCTATGAACGCGTCCAAATCCATCCAGCTGTCTCTGGAGCCCGTGGCATCCTCGCTTTCGGGATTGTTGCTAGGAACCGTCGTATCTGCTATGGCTGAGCCTATGATAGCAGCGAAGTCGATAGTAGATATGTCGTACTCAGCCATCTCCGTCTTCACATGAGTGGCGGAGTCCACCGAAGGATGACTGCAATCTTCATATTTTATTGAAGACACCGAGTCCGGATCGACACAATCCGCATAATCGTCACTAGAAAAGAAGTTTTTGGTGTCTTGGTCATCCGCAGAGTCCGCACTAATGTTACACGTCGAACTTGACACTATATTTTGTTCGTTATAACTGTTGTAGGTGTTGTTGTTTTCTTCCAGGTTTCTTTGGGATATGGAGTGATAGTGGTGTCCCTGTATTCCGTTTATACTCAAGTTCGCCGTGTAACCCGTGAAAGGAGGGAGAGGTTTCATCTCCGTTAAACTAGGGTTCATACTGTGCGAGTTCAACAAGAGATTGTCTAAAGCCTCTATGGTGTCTTTCGATTCCATTTCACTGTCGTCCTGACTTAGAGAAGACTCCAGTAGCAACTTGTCGGAGCCTAGGTTGCTGATGTGGCCGTCCATGATGAGCTTGTGGGTATCGATGAACTCATTATGAAGACTCGAGTTGGAGTTCCAACAGGAGGAGATGAAAAGAGGGTCGACTTCATCCATGTGTGAACCATCGTTAACTGCCATACTTGCGCTTTGGGGAACGTTGGGATATTTCATTATCTTCATCGACTGCGTGGTATCGTAGACAGTGGAGAATGTGGAAAAGGGAAATGAGCTCCAATTGTTATTCCAGCATGTTGGGCCCCTGAAACAATATGAGAGAATTAATAATATTCTGGTAGAATGAAATGTCGGTATTAGGCATGAGTGGAGCGAATAGATGTGAAAACAATCTGATTCTCAAATTCAAATCACAAGTCAGCCATATTCACCATGAATAAAAAGATAAAGCAACACTTTAAATTTTGATGAAACTCAGGAAGAGCAATAAAAACTCGTTTGATAATGTATGCCGCATTGAAAAACCTGTTAGAAAGTATTATAACGTCCAGATTTAAAACTGATGGATTCGGAATATACGTTCTGCTTCAGTGATCTGTCAATACATCTCCACTTCAGAGAATTACCCTGTAAGATGCTTCCATTTGGAGATGGATGCCACCCCTTCAAAAGAAAATGGTTTCATTGAAAATAAGTGAGAAAAGCAACGTATGTTGTAAAAAGTGTTTTGTGAAAGTCAATACTACTAGATAAATGTATGAACAGTAAACCGTGTTCAAAACATTTTCATCAAGATTTTCCGCTTAATTATGCATCACTTGATCAAAAATATTTTTTTATGTCTATACTTGAACAGGAACATTCCAAGTGCGATAATTATTGAACAACAATTCTGAGTTTTTTTGGGAAAGAAAGTTTTTGGCTTTCTACTACTCCATCTCGATAAAAAAAAGATGGAGTAATATAAAACCGAAAGCTTTCTTTCCCAAAAAATTAGTCACTCCTAAAAATATAACCTTTTCAATTTTAAAATCTATGGTATTTTTCTTTTTCTAGAGCTCTGTTTGAAAGGTTTCAAAATAGATTTTCGTTAGAAAAATAGAAAAAATTGTTATTATTCAATTTGTTATCAACAATTCACTTAGGTTAGTAGCTTCATTGATCACTGAAATTATTTTATCAAATATTATT